CCTAGCCAAATGCAAAACTTGTGAAAAAAAGTCAGAACACATGAGGAGGGGAAAAAAATGTCAGTGGCCTCACCTGTAAAACCATTCCTCTACCATCAAGTTAATTAAACTTGATGCTATACTCTGATTACAAAGTGTTCCTTTAATGTTTTTGAGTTGTGTATATTCTGATGTAAGAAATAGATACTTTATCATAAAATTGTGTGTTTCAGTAACATGTTTATATACTTTAATTATATAGAAATCATCATAAAATTTTAACCACAAGCAGTATTGTCTGCTAGTTTTATCCACATATAATCAATGCAGAAGTGTCATTTTTTGCTCCTAAAATATAACGCTCCTTGTTTCAATTATTTTATCATCTTAGACCTCAGAGCTAAATGCATTAATTTTGCCATTTAATCGTTAACTCAGACTGAACTGACAAACTGAGCAGGGAATCACAAATTCGTTCAGTCAGGGTGCATATTCTCAACATATTACGATGGCGGTCCAGAGTCTCACTTACTTTGTTCTGAGGGCTGCTGGCGAGGCTGTATATATCGTTGCTTTCAGCTGAGTTTGGGTTGCAGGGTTTGGCGTAAACATCAACTGAAGCTAATTCCTCAGGAGGTGGTTTGTTTTCTCTGTCCTGGTCTCTGATCTCCTCATAAACTCTGTCGACCTGCAGAAGGAGGAGTTGATGCTAAATCAGTTTCAGTTTTCACAAACTGATTGGTTAGAGATAACAGGTGTTTGATAGAGATGCTTTCACAGTGACTCAGACTCACCATTGCAGTATCAGCAAACTCTGTTTTCACTGGAGAAATGGAAAAAGAAGAAGATTGATTCAAAGCAATATTTAAAAAAAAAAACTTACATTTTAGGATTAAGTATTTCACATCTGTAGACTAAATTGTTAATAATTTCTGCAGATAAAAATGCAGATTTGATGAGGTTTCAGTTTCAGAGTTTTCTGTTTCAGAGATTCTACCTATAGAATCGTACTTTGTGCCATTTAGACTCATGACTTGTCTCTGATCTAAACACCGTTTCTGTAGTTTTGTGTTTTTTAGGACGTTTTCCCCTGTTGCACCATGAACTTCTGAAAGATTTCCCCACATGATGATCCTGCAACTCTATCAGTAGAGATAAACGTTTTTCTGCAATACAGAAAGTTTAATTTAGCTTTCATCTGTCTGGAGCAACTTTTTCCAGCTTAGCCGTGTCTCATTTATGAATTGTTACAAACTGCAAAGAGAATGAACCATGACTTAATTTCCTCTCTGACATATTTGTTGCTCATATGACCAATAGCTGTCCAGTCAATGGGTACTAAGAGCACAGCTACAAGCTGTAAATATCCATTCTGTTGGTGAATTGTTCACAAAAAGTGGAATTCTGGTTGTTGCAGCCTAGTTATGGAGACAAAGCAGAGTCTGTCTTGTGACTCACCTTTCTGTGGACCAAAGCTTCTTTTCTTGAAAAAAATCAGCAGAGCTGCTGCTAGTATGATGATCAGGATGGAAAGAACCAGACCCACATAGAGCAGCAGATCTGCATAAAATGGTAAAAGTCCA